TTAGAGGCCAAAAGCATAAATGAGCAGAGATAACGATGGGACTAATTAACGGAGGAGAGACCAAATGGCCTCACCGCTCTGGTCCACATGTGACCATTGTGGAGGGAGAAGTAAGGAGTGATGAGGACAACATGGAAAGAAGGAAGTCATGGATGCTGAAACTGTTAAAACTTCATCTTGTTAGAACTAGTGTGAAGATATTCCCAAGCTCTCCCTTTTCCTCAAAAAAATAAGGGAGGGGGGCAGGGAGGCAATTCAGACTGTATTTTAGGCACATATTTAGTACTGCCATTTATACTGCAGTAAGAAATTATTTAATAAGCAAAAAGAGTAAATAAAATATCTGCAGCACAGCTCCAGATTTGAATTATTGCAACAGGCCATTCCCACTTACTGAAAACACTGGGCAAATGCTGACAGCCAGGAAAAATAATATACAGCACATTAAACCATCTGCCTGACTCTTGTACGGAGACAAACACCACTCCCTCGAAAGTCTTCCTGAGGAACAAGTCCAATTATTTGCACCAAACTAAAATTACACTCTCTGATATTCAGACCTTAGTAGAGGCACATGATGTTTCATATGCCACCATGAAAACACAAAACCGGCAACTTTTGTTCTGTTTGTGAAATAAACCCGTTTCTCTAACCATCACCGTAAGACTACGATGGGACTAGAGAGTGTCAGTGTTGAACACGCCTAAAAGGATGTTTCAAGGGCAGATATGAAAGATGAGACATACAGCAGTCAAGAAATGGGGTGAACTGTGCACGTGAGGTCACAGAAGTGCAGTAGAAGACATCAGAGGTCTATGGTAAATCAGTGTAACTAAGCTCATAGAGCAGAACTGTAGAATCATAGAATGGTTTGGGTTGGAAGGGACCTTTAAAGGTCACCTAGTCCAACGCCCCTGCAGTGAGCAGGGACATTTTCAACTCAATCGGGTTGCTCAGAGCCCCGTCCAGCCTGACCTGGAATGTTCCCAGGGATGGGGCATCGACCACCTCTCTGGGCAACCTGTGCCAGTGCCTCACCACCCTCATCCTAAAACATTTCTTCCTTATATCTACTCTGAATCTACCCTGTTTTAGTTTAAAACCATTACCCCTTGTCCTATTGCTACAGGTCCTACTAAAAAGCCTGTCTCCATCTATCTTGTAAGCCCCCTTTAAGTATTCAAAGGCCGCAGTAAGGTTTCCCCAGAACATTCTCCGGGCTGAAGGTGATTATAGTTCACAAAGCCTCAGAGAAAAACGGATTATACCCATTCACACTCTCACACCCTCAAATGCCAAATGTATTGGCCAGCTGGTTTGGCCAACATCACTTGCACCCCACACAGAGGACAAGGGATGCTGGTTGTCAGGTCCTCACCACATCTCCTGGTCTCTTTCCTAAAGACAGCAAACCTGGTTTATAGGGTTTATAGGTCTTTTATACCCTGTAAGGCTCAACAGCATCCTTGGCAGGACTATTTGGCTTCAGTTTTGCCCACTTCACACTTCTGATCTTTTAGGCAAGCCTGTTGGTCAATACCTCCATCTCCTCATTTTGAGTTTCTTAGGGCACTAGGAAAAGGAACGGCAGCGGCGATGTGCTGTGACCTTGCTGCCACCCTCCTAGTTTTGGAGCAAGAAGTCTCCTCCTGACTAGTTGCAGGGCTACCAGCATGATCCTCGACTGCTTTACAGCCAACTGTGTCACCAGTTTGAATACAAGCCATGCTTTCAACTCTTGTTCTGCTGTTTCTTACACATCCTTATTTCATTCGAACCATTCTTAATAGGCCTCTTATAAATCTCTACGGAACTGGCCAATAAAGCAGAGAAGCACAGAAGAAATACAGGTGCACTTTTTTTTAAAAAAATAAAAGAAAGAAAAAGGATAATTGGTGAGCAATATGAGTTTAGAAGGGCAAATATTCAAAATAATAAATATTTTCACATCATCTGTATGCAAAAGTACACTGGTGAGAAATACATGTTACAGATAGGTGTGGTGGCATGCATAGACTTTTTGGAAGACAAGGAAGCACAGATGCTAATAAAGATGTTTACTGGATACTGTCAGAATAGCTCAAACTACCTGCTGAAAGACAACAGCAAGATCTGTAAATTAAAGAGCCATGTTATGAAAAGCAGAGGAGGAAACAGAAAAAAACCCCGCAGTTTGCTTGCAATTCATTTAGCTTTGCAAAGGTTAACAACGGTTAGAATATCATTTCTCCCATGGCTCCAATTATAATTCAATATTAATGACCCCGTAACTTCACTGTTCTACCCAACCTTTACCCACTGACATTTTCTTAGCTTAAAATAAAACGTTAACGTGTTGCAAAATAAAATAAAGGTAACATACAGCCACGCACCTGACTTCATGCTGAACATTGACTCCAGAAGGAGCTCCGAAAGTCTAACAGCACCTCGAAACGTGAGGCGGACCCCCCTCTGACCCACAGTAGCCCAGCTCTTAAATGAAGTGGAAATCAAATCCAGCAGTCACGTCTCGTACTGCTCCGCGCTGCCTGATGTTGTTAAAATGCACGGCCAGGTTCCTGGCTTCTCTGGAACGTTGTGTGCCTCAAATAGTCAGTCCAGCCTGCGATACCCCATAAATTCAGCAGTGCTGGAGTCTGGCAACCCAGCTTGCACTCCAGTGCCCGTTGGAGGGACTGACTTGACCTAAATCATCACCAACGTCAGCAGTGAAACTGAAAATCTAAAGCCCGTTTCCCTGCAGTTTCTCCGGGCAGCTCAAGGCAGAGCTGTTTCTTCCAGCAGCAGGGCAGAAGCCCACACTGAGGATGGGGTTACAATGAAATGGAGAAGGTGCCTTCTAGAAGATGGAAACGTGCCACGACGTCACCGGCACAGAAAAACTTCCAAAATTGCCTGCAGAATGGCAAAATGAAGCAAGACCCTTGAACGTGCTAGCAGAAAGCCATTCTAAACATCCATTTGCCAGAACAAGGTCTCTTTTTGTGTCTATTACGTTCAAAGAATTGGTAAGTATCTCAGTTTTCGAGTCGGAGGTGGCCTGTATCTCAAAGGTGGTTTTACCAACTGTCTTTAGGCTTTGCAGAAAGCATTTTCATTGCTTCTACTTAGTGTGCAAATTTTCAGCCAACTGTATCTCATTAACATCACAGGGGGCTATCAGATATTACTTATTTATGGTCTAACTTGGATTCAACTGTAATTATGAAATGCACCCTCGAGCATTAAAAATGCAAGCGTTTCAATAGCTTCCCCTACAAAGAGAAGAGATGAATCATGCTGTTCTAATACACTGGTTATTTAGCGAGTTATAGTGACTGTAAAATATACTGGGAGAGGAACTTAGCAGTAGTTACAGTCAAAGAATCGAAGAATTTTTAATACATTATAAATGCTTAGTTGGAAAACACCAATAAACAGTCTTCTCCCAAATACACACGTTCTTATTCCTCTGGCACGTTAGGATGTTAAATAATATCGCAACATTAATTCTCAAGGAGATCTATGCGATAGCAGGGAGGGAGGGAGGGAAGGAAAATCACTGTTGACTATCTTCCATCTGCCTAACTTCTGGACATATATTTTCGGCTACACGTGCTCACTGAGATACATAATGGACATATCTTCTGCTTCAAACTGTGATTCTCTCCCAGTAACGGAACTGGAGGAATCACTCATATTGAAGAGTTTTGAACTCTCATCCGCAGGTGGGTCTGGGTCTGTAAAGAACTAATGGATAGTTTTTAAAGCGAGGATTGGTCTCATGCCATTAAAACTCAGGAACCAACTGCTTCCCTCTTCATTCTCCTTATAAGTAATTAGCCTGCCACAAAGATTTTTATGGAAGACCTTGACTGTGATGGATTCAGCAGAACAAATGCTGAAGTCTGATCCAGGAGTAAACATTTACTCCATACCAATGGAAGCAAGGTGATGCTTCAAGCCTGCTTTTTACCTGGGATTGCATTAAAGCACACTCCACTCCGTAAAAGCTATGTACTAAAAAAAAAAAATGATATAAACCACTTGTCTGAAGGATCCATCTGGAGCTCCTTGCTTTAATTAAATTTAGCATGAAATCTAAAGCAAGATATTATTCCCACTGCTCATTTTAAAGTGGGCATAATATTGCCTACTTTAAAACAGGTTGTAAGATCTGGAGTACTGTTTACTCCATGCATATCCCTCCTGGGGGAGTTCTCCTTATTGATCAAGTATTGGTTTATATTTGTGGAACATTAACAGTTCCTAAAATAGAAGGTAACACATTAGATTTTGAAACCTTAAAAGAGATGGCCTGCTATGCTTTGGGAAACATTTAACCTCTTTGTTAGGGTTAGACTTTTTTGGAGGATGGAAGAAGAAACAAATACTGAAATTGCTTCTGTTGTTTCCAACTCCTAGGGAATCATTAATTCAGTTCACACTAAGAAATGAACTCTGCCAAGCAGTTCACGAAGGACAGAAGGCTATTTGGCTTCAATGGTGTTGAAACGTATGTTTGCATTTAACTTGACAGATTTTCAGAGTTCGGTTTAAAACCAAAAGGTGCCACCTAAAGAGTTTGAAATTAGTCCATGCTTAACTCTTTGCAAAATCACTTCCTTAACTTATGATTCATGTCTGACTACGTGTGAATATCTGCAATTTCTCTAAGTCATACATTATTTGTGTGATGTAGTAACTCAGATGATGTCTTCCATGCCATTTTAAAAGTAACTTCTCCATTTCAAAAAGCCTCCCCCACCCCCAGCCTCCCTTTCCCTGCATGCACAGGACAAGACAGATTTGCAAAGATGGGCAGACAATTTTCTTGACATATGTCCTAATTAAATACTTTAAACATAGCAGAGATTCCCATTTTTTAGGCTGTGATGTTAAGCAGGATGTTCAATTAAAAAAAACACCCAAACAACAGAAACCCAAACACTATACTGAAAAACAAAACCCAAAGATCTTTCCTAAAGGAGAAACATTTAGGTGTCTTAAATGAAAAGTACCTGAAAAATGTCACAAAGAACTGTACCAGGTCCATAAAGTTGCTGTGTTGTGAGAATGCAATCTGCAAAAGAAAAGCAAATGCCTTCTATTACTTACTGAAAAGAAAATTCATGTTTAAGATACATTGCTGCTGGATCAACAAATTACAATGAAATACGTCTTCACTTCAGTCAATTAACATTTTTGAACACTGTTTTGAAAAAGCACTGAAATATTCTGAGGCAAAAGAAAACAAACTATTAACTTCACATTATTTTGAAATCATATATCCGAAAAATGAATCTAAACAGGTAACATCTCTCCCAACAGTATTCAAGGAATAGTCTTCAGTGCACATTAACTACCTTGGAGAAAATGCTAGTTCAAAAAGTCAGAACACAGAAGTTTCACAGAGCTAAAAATAGAGCATCTTTAATTACTGCATACACAGCAACCCAAAGTACAACATTTAAAAGCTCAAAATGCATGCTCCTATTCAAGCAATATTTGTACATCACAATCTCCTTGAATAAGTAACTTACACCAAGAGCAGCAAAAAGGCATGAAACACAGAAGATAATAGATACTGTAAAAACAGCTATGGCATTCATCTGAACTCACTTTCCTGCAATCCACTCAAACTGCAAAGAAAAGTGAAAAACAACCGAGTATTTTGGACAAAAAACAGAGGGAAGAAGCGAACAGGAAATTGGGAGGTGGTTAGAGGCAAAAGGAAAGATTAGGGAGCCTGGTTAAAAATAACAAAGCAGAGGGGAGGCAAGCCAACAGCAAGGCAACTTCGGCAATGTTCGGGATCAGAAGTTCTTTCCAGGTACCTCCTATTTCCTCTGACTATCAATCTCAGCACCACAACAGGATATTAACTCTTTCATGAAGTAACTGAATTCATTTCAAAACTCAGCTGCAATCTGCACTTGCAAAAGCTTTCCATGGATATTAAATTCACTTAAAGCGTCATCTGTTGTTTTTTTTTCCCTTAATAAACTGCGTGTTATGGTACCATTAGCATAAACACAAATGTCTCCTCCCAGCAATAGTTGCATTCCAAAAATCATGAATATATGCAAAATGAGTTATTGCTTGGATTTCTGTTGCTCTAGAATACCTTCTGTTATCATATTTGCTTTAAATATCCATTGTAACTTGGTACAGAAGCTGACCAAAATAATTTTCTTATAAATATACTGAAATGCTCTTAAGTTGAAAGCTCCTTTACAGTGCATAACTTCTCTTTTGCTGGAAAGCTAACTCGAAACCTGCAGACCAGATGCTTGTGACCTCAGTATTACTGCCTACAAAAGACAAGAAAACACAGAGTTTCTTGCTGATTTTTTCCTTACAATGTGCTTCCCAATAAGTTTCTGATTAGAAAAAGAGAGTGAGTATGATTTCACTTTTTATTTTAAAACTCGGTGCATGGCAACTAGGGTGGTTTTATATTTGCATAACTATTCTGGCATTTCTTCAAGGCAAAGAGTTTTCTTACTAAAATATCACATCCCAAAATACAAACGTGTAATACATCCAGTATATAGAAACACGATCTGAGAAGAACTATGATGCTGACTAACTATAAAAGATGCATTTGAAAGCAAAGACCTTATTATGTATCGACAGCTTACATTTAAAAATCCTTCTGCAGAAAAACAAAATTTAAAGCACAAAGAAATCATCAAGGGGCCAGTCCTCTGCAGACGATCATTAGGACCAGTTTCTGTGATGGAGACCAAAGCTTGCTCCAAGTAGAAGAAGAAACAACTATCTGCTAATTTTGAAAAGGGACAGATTCTACGAAAGATTAATGAGACCGCAAACTAATCTCTGAACTGTTACCAGAGAAGGGCTTCTCATTTTTTGATAATAGAAGTGTAGGAAACAAATAAAACAGAGAAGGAAAATTTGGGTTTGTTTCACACAAAAGCACTAGAAATGCTTTACCAGTGGTGGTTCTTTTGCCTACCTGGTGGAGCTCTTCTCTTGCAAAGACCAACTGGGGATCTGTACCTCATACACAGATTAAAAAAAAAAGCCTAGGTTGGTTTCTGCAATTTACTTCTCACAAGCTGAAAACACTTTATGCTATTAAACCTGACCAATCTGTGTCACAGGCAATTTAGTATCATAATTGTTAATGGTTTGCTTACTTAGAGCTTAATTTCCCCTAATATAATCTGTTCCTAGGACTTAATTAATTCAGTTACACAGAAAGTTTGGTTAGAAATGGCTGTTAAAAGTAGACTGTTCATTCTGGATATAGGAAAAATATGACACAAATTTCTTAGCAGTATAGATTTTTTAATTAAGTTTAAATGACAGTAGAAGATTCATTTATCCATTCTCAAAAAACTAATTTTGTACCAAAGGAACACGCAGTGTAACTGCAGGAAACCCCCGTGTATCTCGTGCTGGGGTCTGGGAGAGCCTCCTCCAGGTACAGAGCAGAACTTCAGCTCAGCTGCAAAACCAAACTGCCACTTCCATAACATACGTGTCCTTCGGAGATGTTTTATATTATGTTCTTATGAATAATGCAGTATCCTTAAGCAGTTAAGATTAAAACAGATCAGAAAATTAATTACTTTCATTCCAGAGATTATTATAAAGCTTGTGTTTATCTGATCTGAAAAGGTACCTGAAAAAGCACACCAATCACGCTTTTCCTAATGCCACACCGTTTGAAGTATCCAAAAAATTTGGCTGCTTTCCAGATAAACAAAAATAGCTAGCTGTATGGACTGATAAAAATGTATAATTAAGAGCTTTACTTTCTTTATCATTTGAACAGCATAAAATATTAAGCCAAGAACAAAATATGGCTACCTCTAACCAGCCAAAAACATCTCAAAAGTGCACCAGTTGTGAAATCAGTACACACACATTTCAAAGAAGTTAATGGCAAAGTACTTAGCCACAAAATATTCTGAGTAAAGGAAAAGCAATTTGAACTCAACTGACATTTCAGTAACAGTTGGTATTTCAAACCCAACATACTTCGGGAGTTAAACTACAGCCTGTGACTGATATAAATTTTGACAAACAAATTGGGACGATTACATACCAGGAATTGGTTTGCATTAGTACCCGAGTTTGTGCTTCAGGAGAAAAGAAACTTGAGAATAATTTCAAGAGAATAATTTTGTACAAAAATGGGTCCAGCCGACTCTCAGTCAACTTCTTAGTTTGAAACAAGTTCACCTTAAGCCTGTAAATGCAACCATATCTAAAATTATTTAAGCCTCCATTCTTTTGATTTACAAGTGCTTTGAACTCATTAAAAAGTACTTGAATTTCACATACCACTAAGAAAAATTAGTATCACCAACCCAATAAGAAATTCTATAGAAATATTTTTTTTTTTCATTAAATACAGCAAGAAACAAATTTCGTAACTGCTCTCACTTACATGTAATAAACAGATTTACAGATCAATCACCACAACGTAACTCCTTCCATTTGTGCTGGAAGTCACCGTTATTTTGGAGATAAAGAAGCCAAACTATTAGCCACGATGGGGATGGGACAAATCTCTCTCCAAACCCAAATAATTTCTAATGTTATACATAATATTAGCACTCCTAATCTAAACTTGTTAACTGAAGAACTGCTAATGTACTGAAGAACATTTCAAGTATGGCATTTTCATAACATAATTTGATACATTTGGGGCATCTAAGTGCTTGAGAAAACACAAACAAACACAGAAGACATCGTTTCTACAACTCTTCTTTCCCTGCTAACAATTCAGGATTATTATATGCCGTATTTTTGCCTTTCTCCACTACTGCATAAAGTGACTCAATTCCCATCAGTGCTGCCTTTTCTTTCCAACCCTACTTCATATATTAGGGATGAGAAAAAAGGGAAATTGGAAATGATATTTTGAACAGGACACACTCCTAGAATAGAATTGTAAAGGAGAGAAAAATAAAAGTCTAATTAACTTATGAAACCGGAGAAGTACAACAGAGAAGGCGCACCGTGAAGAAGCCTACTGGAGTTTGGTGCTTGCTGTGATTTCAGAAGAAATCAAAAGGTCCCTACTGCTAGATCCATTAACCTCACCTAGCAGGTGGGAGAACGCTACAGCACTCGTGTTTTGAAAGTCTACGGGACCACACAGCACTGAAAACCACAGAAATTAAGAGATTTCAGGCTGCTTTGCTTCTTATTTAAATACAGCTCCAGCGCCAAAGTTAACGAACAAAAAAGCAGCACGTAAGACAAAGGCTAGAAGCTCCAAGGGCTTCCAAAGAGATAAAGCCAACAGCCAAACAAGCAGCAGATGACATTTATGTACATCTTCCTCTACTGCCACCTCAGCACCTCCAGTGTCTCTTTTTTATTTTTTTTTTTTTAATATGGTTAGAGGCAAGGATTCAATCTGACCTTGGAGAATAGAGACAACAGTAACAGGATGCTGTGGCTTGAATGCTGAGTGCCTGCACTTCTGTCAAAGGACCAGCTGAAAAACAAATGGTTTTTAAGTATTCCTGAGCGACGCCAAAGTCATCAAAACATTCATTTTGCCCTCTGTGATAGTGATGGAGGGAAAGACTGCTCTTCTGCTCAAGAGAAACATCGTTCCCCGTTTCAGTTCTCCTTTAAACACAAATACAACATGCTCTTAGTGAAGCACGTGGCAGAAAACACGTATTGTTCTTGGTGCTCTCCACTCAACAGGAGCAGCCAGCCAACTCCAACAGCCTCGGCGGCGAGGTTTGAGGAAAAACCTGAAAAAAAAATCCAGCTCCGCCACCTAAAAGGTGGTCTCGGCTCTGCCACGTGCCGCTGCTGCTGGTGCACGTGTTCTGTGAACTTCTTTAATGAGCCAAGGCAAGTCGTTAAGCCAGCAGAGAGCTAACGGTAGGAACGCAGGGGTTTTTGCTGGTATTTCTGAACTGACCCTGCTCACGGAGGGACGAGGCAAACTCAGCAGCAACCCAAGGGAGGAGCAGGGCAAGATGACCCTTTTCAGGCAGGTGGCTCTCAAATCATCTCCGCGATGTTATCTCCCAGGGTAACTTTTTGGAAAGAAGCATCTGTGCACCTCTGCAGATGAGA